AGTTAGATGTCAGCAGAAAACGCATTTAACAAGTTGTTAATAGACTTCTCTGAAGTTGAAGTGAAGCTTTGTTTAAAGAAGGATTTCACACAGTGATGTTTTCATGGTGTCACCCTGCAGTTTAGTTTGGGAAACGTTGTGTCTTTGCTCACAGTGAGGAGCTTCAATGCTAACATGTTAGCGTGTAGCTGTGAGTGCGCACAACTATTTCCCCTGTGTGTGTGTGTGGCTCATAATGGGTCATATGACAGGCTGATCATCATTTATTCAGGTTTTGAGTCATGCTTTTAAAAACAGTTTGAGTTTTTGTATCAACACATTAGTGATTATTATTGTTGTGTTTCTTTGTTCGACAAGACTTCCCACAACAACATGACTGTGAAGAAGAGGAGGGTCTGGATGAGCAGCAGGTTTGTAACCAGGAGAGGAACTCCAGTCTGGACGAGGAGGACCCAGAGCCTCCACAGATTAAAGAGGAACAGGAGGAGCTCTGCAGCAGTCAGGAGGGAGAGCAGCTTGGACTGAAGCAGGAGGCTGAAGGCATTATCATCTGGACTGATGAAGAGCAGCTCAGACAGATGGAGACTATCTGGAAACCTGAGATAAAGTTACACAGAATAGGTATGTAAAACTGTAATGTCTTTATAACATTGAATATGACTCACAGGCGTCACAGTGGAACAGTGGTTAGCGCTGTTGGCTCCCAGCAACAAGGTCCTGGGTTTGACTCCACCATGTGTCCGGGTCTTTCTGTGTGGAGTTTGTATATTCTCTCCTTGTTCACTCTCCAGAGACATGCAGACAGCTGGGTTAGGTTAGTTGGTGACTCTAAATTGCCCATAGGTATGAATGTCAGTGTGTAGGTATGAATTTAATGTGCTACTTTTTGGCTACCAGGAAGACACTAAATAAACAAACTGAGAATCTGTTTCTGAAAACCACTATAATAATCTGGTTTAAAACACATAACTACTTGGGAGAAACATCACAACTGTCAAGGTTCCCTCCAATATTTAGAAATAACAGCTTTCCTCCCGGTAGGGCAGATGCAGGCTTTAGACTTTGATTCGATCAAGGTATAAGAAAAGTGTCTGATATATTTAGGAATAATACTCTTATGTCTTTTGAACAACTTAGAAGTACATTTTCTATTCCTGCAAAACACTTAAATTTTATTTTAACCACACAAGGTTACAGCTTAGAACTCTCCACCTACTGTTCTCTAGAGAGCACAGTTATAAAACATCTAAATGGGAGAGGTCAAGTTTCTGCATTTTTCCAAAGTGTTTATGGAAAACTCCAAAGAATCAACAG